TTGGAGGTAGTAATGAAGCCGGACGTGGAGGCAGTCTGTAGCCTTCCTGAATGTCCAGAGAACCAGGGATGTTGGGAGGAACCCCCCTCCCCAGTCTTGGGGGTCAGAGATTAGTTAAGCTGCAGTGGAATCTGTTTGCTCAAAACATTCCATAGTCAGTTATTTTTAGGGACCTTGGTTATATGGTACTTCGCATTCATGTATCGTATTCCTATAGTTTTAAGTGTGCAAAGAATGAGTCTTGATTTCAGGAATGGAAACAGTACTGCATCTATTAGTCACCTCAGCGTTTGGGAGGTGGAGGCAGGAAGGAGAATCGCAATTCTTGAGGTCAGCCTGAGCTACATGAGACCCTGTGATACAAAAGGAATTGAGTGTGATACAAAGAAAAAGAAGTAGGATGAAAAGAAGGCCTACGGTTTTGTTGGGAAGTTACCATTTCTCAGAAGAATTCTTGTTAGTTTGTGTAGAGCAGATCAGAAAGGGACTGCTTCTTGAAGGAGGAACTAGTTATAAGCAAACGTGAGAAGCAGCAAGATTTGGCTGAAGGATGATGTTCAGGATTGGAAAGTGGATGGAACAGTATTTAAATGGCTTGCTGTAAAAATCTGTAAGCTTTGCAGCTATGTTTAACACTGTTGCTTTTTCCTCTAGGAGAGGGAAGAATCCAATATTGAGTATTTGTGAACTAGAGACCTTGTGGAGCCAAAGGGAAAAGTCGTTCAGTTCTTGTTATGGTAAGTGGCATATGTTTGTTTCTATATAAGTGTGAATTTTGAAGTAGGGGATGGAGTAAGAAAGAAGGTAAAACATACTTGGGAAAAGGAAATGGATTTGTTGCTAACATAGTAATGACAAAACCGGGCCCTGTCATGCCAGTAAAGTGTACTTTACATGTCCAGCAAGCATGCATATATTCACAGCAGGTGTGCGGCAGTCGCCTCTCTTGATTTGCCATACAAAGAAGGCAGTATGCCCAATGCTTGCACAGGCTCTGCTCTGGAGGAGATGGATATTTAAACGCTGGCTCTGTTGTGAAACTATCTGTGAGGCCTTGGGTAATTAACTAAACACCAGTAGCAACAGGTGTCCTATCTACAAGATGCAGATATTGGCTGGTTTTACAGTGTCCTTGGGAGGATTAAATGTCCATAATCTGTGTAATCAATGAAAATTAAGTGAGGCAATCTGTAGCCTAGGGCTATACAGCAAGTATGGATTTTCAGGTAATACTTTAAATATTTACTGTTTGATTGTTCCATATATCCTTTAACATAAAAGATTCTTGAGCTCCAAAGGTCTGTTGCTCAGCTTGTTTATTTGGACTTTTGTTGCTCTTATGGAATGCAGTCTTGATGTTGCTCATGAAAAGGGAGAAGTTGCCCCTTCCTCAGAGGGGTAAGAAGAAGCATTTTAGAAACAGTAACTTGGAGTTAAGATTCAAAGGATGCGTTTGTGTTTGTGTTTACCAAATGGACAACTTAGCTTGTATTATTGTTGGTGACCCAAGGATAGTCCTTTTTTATTCTGATACTTGTTTCCTTGTAGGCTTTTTGTTTAGCAGATGTTTTCTAAATGTAACAGATAAGATATTTTATTAACCAAAAAGACAGTGTTGTAACCCTAGTAGATGTTATCTTATAGTAGAAGAGACAAACAATGCAACATATATAAAATGTATATATGGTAAAGTTGGTGTGATATTGAGAAGGAAGGTGGTATGAGAGGACACAAAGTCTTTTAGATAAAGTAGTCAAGATATGCTGCTTTTTAAAGTAGTAAGTTTCACTCTGCTCCATGATTCAAACAGTGGAGAAATCTGCACAGAGGAGCAGCAGTTAAGTCAGAAAAGACAGTGTTAACTTCCTGAGTAGCCTGTGGGGATGATGATGGCAGAAATTCCATATTATGGAGAGCAGTAAAATCCTTGGATTTTAATCTAAATATGGTAAGAAACAGTATTTTAAACCTGGGAAGTGTCATGGTCTGTTTTGAAGTTTGACAACCAGATTTTATTTTGTTTGTGTAGAAAAATTGTTTCCTAGTTTCAAATATTTTTGTTTGTTTGGTTTTTCTTGTCCACTACACATTCTTGGCAATTGTGATGCTTTGGATTGGTGGTTTAATGAGGTAATCTGATCCATTTCCCAAGCTGTGAGCAAACTCAGTTAAAGAGTTAAGGCAAGAGGATTGCAAGTTACAAAGCTATCCTGGGCAACGTAAGGAAAGTCTTTCTCAAAATGTGAAAAGGATAGTGTATGTAGCTCAGTAGTAGAGTGAAAAATTGTTACAGGCCTTGGGTTCAATCCCAGTTACCACAAGACAAAAAAAAAAAAAAAAAAAAAAAAAAAAACCCAACATAATATATTTTTGTTTGAGCACGTCTACATTATGGCTCAACAAAGATATTCCAGGCTGGTTTGAAAACTCAGTTATCTAACATGCCTCTTATTCCTTTCAGTGACTAATGGTATCTAGAACCTAGATTCTCAGTGTACAATAAGGACATTATTGCTGGGATTGCATTTCTGTGACTTGACAGATGACATTCTTAGGATAAAAAACACATTTGTATGTGTACACACATATCTGTTTTCTCTATAAAGTACAAACTGTGACCTCATTCTGATACTGCCCTTCAATTCCAGCTAATTGCAGTACAGAGTTCATTCTAATCTTATTCTTTTCTACTTATAATTTCCCTCTGTGTGTGTGTGGGAAATTGGTAGTTCATTATCCAACTCTGGTAAACACACGAGCTAGTATGTACTATGAGGAAAAGTTTGGAAGACTGTGTGTTCCTGTCATTTCAGTACTCTAGGATGGAGAGGCAAGGAGATCAGAGTTCAAGACCTGCCTCAGTGAGCCTATGTTTAAAAAAAAAAATAGTAATTGTTTTTTATTGTTATTGTCTTTAACTTGAGTTAATATAGTCTCATACAATGTCAGAGTTAATTTTTCCATTTTCCCTCTTTTTGGGTGGTCATATTATTTGTTTGAAACAAAGTATCTTTTGGTTTGTTTTGAAACCGTCTCACTTTGTAGGTTAAGCCGGTTTAGAATTTTATAGCCCAGGGGGGCCTCAAACTTAGGACAGTTATCTTGCTTCAGCCTCCAAATATTGAAATTATAGTTGTGAGCCACCATACTTAGCTGTCATTTGCTTTCTTTGTCATTTTACAGCCCTCCTCCAGCCCCACATAATTTTTTTTTATAATCTTAACATTTATAATTGTGCTTTGTTGCATATTTAGGAAGTCATAACCTGGAGCTGTCCAGATGACTGAGAGGTTAAGAATACTTGCTCTGAAATTCTAAGGACTTCCAGTACCCACGTAGCAAGCTGGGCATCCCTATAAATGTCTATAAACCCAGCTCTAGTGGGGCAGAGACAGGAGGATTTCTGGAGCTTTCTGGCTCCCATCCTAGCTGAGAAAACATGAGCCCCAGAGACCCCACTTTAAGGAAAGAGTTGCAGAGTGACACAGGAGGAATCTAACACTTTCTTCTGGATTTCATGTTTGTGTACAAATGCATGTGTACATAGACTCACATAAACAAACATACATAAGATCCTAAAAAGATCATAACCTTACCCAGAGCTGTACAGAATTTCTGCTATGCTGTATTTAGGTATAGGGATTTAGTTATGTGTTGTAATGTGCTTGATAATGAAGTGTGTATTTATGTGTATGTACACACATCCTGTAATGGTTAAATCAAACTATTTAACTATAAGCATTGTTTATGACACTTAAAATCTACTTGCTTAACATGACTAAAAAATAAAGTCAGCACTAAGGAGGCTGAGGTAGGAACATTGTAATTTCAAGACCTGATTGGGTTACATAATGAGATTCTTAATCAGAATATAAAACAAATTTAAAAGATCTGTTTGGAACTTTTTATATAACGCTGTGTTATTAACTCTAGTCAGCGTAATTTCTTTTTGCTTTTTGGCTTTTTGAGACAAGGTTTCTCTGTGTAGTTTTGGATGACCTGGAACTCACCCTGTAGACCAGGATAGACTTGAACTCACAGAGATCAGTCTGCCTCTGCCTCTGCCTCTGCCTCTGCCTCTGCCTCTGCCTCTGCCTCTGCCCTAAAGTGCTCCTAAATTTGAAATAGTTAAGAGTGTCAAACTGATGTTGTGAAAATTTCACATAATAAACTTTGTTTCATTCACATAATTAATTAGCAGTATATGAGGGCTGGTGAGATAGTTCATTGGGTAAAAGTCCTTGCCATAGAAGCCTGAAAACTTGAATGTGTCTCTAGGGCACACATAAAAGTGGAGGAAAAGAACAAGCCCTTAGAGTTGTTTTGTGACTGTAGTCACGTTCTGTGGCACGGGCATAATAACAAGTTTTTTTTTTTAATTTAAAAATACTTTATGAATTTACCTTCAGGTCCTGTGTAAAAGTTGATTATGACTGGTATTGGTGGCTCACGCCTTTAGTTCCAGTGCTTGGGAGGCAGAGGCAGGCGGATCTCTGTGGGTTTGAGACCAGCCTAGTCCACAAAGTGAGTTCTAGGACAGCCAAACCTACACAGAGAGCCCTGTCTCCCAAAAAAAAAAAAAAAAAAAAAAAAAAAAAAAAAGCAACAAAATAATCTCAAATCCAAAAACTTTTGTTCCAGGCATTTTGGATAAGGGACCCATGCAGACTATACTGTTTACTCCCCCTTCCCTCCTTTTCGCTTCCTCTTTTCTCTCTTCCCCCTGCCTCCTCTTTGCATTTTTTCAGTGTGTATGTAGGAGGTGGGTGGGTGCTATATGGTACCAGTGTGGATATTGGAGGACAGTCAGTTCTCAACTTCTATTATATAGATTGATTATAGGAATAGAACTCAGGTTTTGCAGCAAGCACCTTTATACACCAAGCCATTTCTCCAGCCCCAATAAAAAGCATCTATCAGTCTTTCCTGCAGTGATTTTGGCTTTGAGACTTCTTAGTGATAGAAATATAAGTAATATGTTTACTTTGTCTCATAGGTTTGGAGGTTCCTAGTAAGAAATCAATATATATGATGCTGCAAATTTGTAAAGGCAAACTGCTAATGAATGAAAGGCTTGAAACAGTTATGTGTGTGAAGTTACCAGTAAAATGATGATGAAAACAAGGATCAAGAAGACCAATGGGAAACCACTTAGGAAGGAACCATAGAAAATGTACACTTCAGAAGAGAGATGTAACCAGAGAACTCAAAAAAGAAAAATATACCATATACGCCCTCAGAAGGGAAAAAAGATTTATATCCGTGTACATGAGATTACTCAAATAGATAATCAAATACATCAGTGCCTTGAACGTGAACAAAACTTTTGTGAAAACTTAGCACGTATGTGTGAGAAAACATATACTGGGGAGAAACCTTATAGGTGTGATATGTGTGAGAAAACCTTCATCCAAAGTTCAGATCTTATTTCGCACCAGAGGATCCATAATTTTGAAAAACCTTATAAGTGTAGCAAATGTGAGAAGAGCTTTTGGCATCACTTAGCCCTTTCAGGACACCAGAGAACACATGCAGGTAAAAAGTTTTATACCTGTGACATCTGTAGCAAGAATTTTGGTCAGAGCTCCGATCTGCTTGTCCACCAGCGAAGCCATACAGGTGAAAAACCTTATCTGTGTAATGAGTGTGATAAATGCTTCAGTCGAAGTACAAATCTCATAAGGCACCGAAGAACTCACACAGGTGAGAAACCATTTAAATGTCTGGAATGTGAAAAAGCTTTTAGTGGGAAATCAGATCTTATTAGCCACCAAAGGACTCACACTGGTGAAAGACCCTACAAATGCAATAAATGTGAGAAAAGTTATCGACACCGTTCAGCCTTCATTGTGCATAAAAGAGTTCATACTGGGGAGAAACCATACAAGTGCGGTGCCTGTGAGAAGTGCTTTGGCCAGAAATCAGACCTTATTGTACACCAGAGGGTCCATACTGGTGAGAAACCGTATAAATGCTTGGAGTGCATGAGGAGTTTTACCAGGAGTGCCAACCTAATTAGGCACCAGGCAACTCACACTCATACTTTCAGATGCCTTGAATATGAGAAAAGTTTCAGCTGTAGTTCAGACCTTATTGTACATCAGAGAATTCACATGGAAGAAAAACCACATCAGTGGTCTATGTGTGAGAGTGGTTTCTTCCTAGGTATGGACTTTGTTGCCCAGCAGAAAATGAGGACGCAGACAGAGGAGCTACATTATAAGTACAGTGTATGTGATAAAAGCTTTCATCATAGCTCATCCCTTCTTCAACATCAGACAGTACACATTGGTGAAGAATACATCTGTAATGTCAGTGAAAAAGGTCTTGATCTCAGCTCTCATGCATCAGAAACATCACAGACGTCTTGACAAGAAGTCACATAACCTTAAAAAAACAAAAAGGTATTTACACATAACCCATTAAGAAAAAGGAAAACGTCTCCTAAGTAAATTTCAGAATTCCCTCAGATCTGAAACTTCATTGAGAACCAGAGAGAGAGAGAGAGAGAGAGAGAGTCTACAGTCTTTGGAACTTTGGAACTGTAAGAAAAACTTTATGCAGAGAGTGGCCACACAAGGAGACCGTTATTAGCCACATTTGCGAAGAACTCCACAAATGCTCTGGGTTTTGGAAAACCTTCCACACTAGAAGGTTCATAGGAAGCCTTACATGTGCAGTATGGGAACTCTCCAGCAGTGTTAAACCCTCATCGTTACAGGAGAATTCACACCAGAGAACAACTGTTTACATGCTTTGTGTCAGTACTTTGGACAGTGTGTATGCCTTATTGGATATCAGAAAATTCATCCTGGGGAGAAACCCCAGAAATTACAGGAAAAGCTTCTAGCAGAATTCTGACTTTCTTACCCATCAGAGAATCCGTACTGTATAAGTGGATATTTACCTCGAGTGTGGCAGAAACATTTGTTGGAGAGTCTTACTTGGGTTTGCATCCTTCTAAACAAAAATCAGAAGAAAATGTCTAAATGAGAAAAGCTTGTTAATTTTCATCTCTTGGGGTATATCAGGGAACTCACATCCGTGAAAACCCATAAATGCTTTGTGTCTGAGAAGCTAGAAGCGCTCATCTAATCGGGCCCCCAGGAATCATGTCTACAGAGGAGTTGCTCCAATAAGAGATCTAGTTGTGGGTGAGAATCTGTACATATACTATGTATGAAAAGAGTTGTTCTCATAGTTGAACCACATTGTAAAAAACTAAATAGAGTTGTTCGGAAGGAAAGAATGTCTTAGCGACCCAGAACCTTGTTCTGGAGGAACTGGGACAGGTCAGTGTGGATCTGAAGGGTAACTCAGGTAAAGACACTTTTCTTTTGTCTGAACCGCTTAATGATTGCTTTAGTTTCACTTCTAAAAATTCAGAAATCCAATAAAGGGGCTGTAATTTTATGTATAAGGTAAGGCATGAGTTATTGTTGGAAGAAAGGAGCACTTTGATTTTTGCTTCCCCCCTCCCTTTTTTTTTAATTCTCTTGTCTAGAATGGGAATGGTGTGTTGATAGCAGGCTATGAAATAAGAACTATGAAGCTAGGGAGTACTTAGTTTGGGTTAAAATTCTCAGTAGTAGTTTCCTCTTTATATGATCAACCTCAGCAAAAAAGCAGAATACTCAGCTCTTAGTGTTGAGATCTGTCCTCAAAATTGTCCCTAAAATACCTTTTTGCGTTATCCCTGGTCCTTGAAATTTCAAATTTAGAGGTTCATTTCTTTCCAAGTCAAAGTAACAACTGGGATGATGTTATAGTATCCAGGTTTTGGGGACTTGCTTCATCTCTTTCAGTAATAGATACTGTCTCACCTGGCTCAGAGCAGAAGGAATAGGGGAAAGCTGTAAGCCAGAGAGAGCAGAGGAGAAACACAGTGAGGTATTCTTAATAGTGGAACAGGACACTGATTTTGAGGGTCCTGACTGCAAAGCTCACGTTCTTCTTCATTCTATTATCCTGATGCTTGCAGCAAAATAAGCTTTATAATGACACATTTTTTTTTTTCCATTTATTTCAGTTCTGTCAAGGAAAGAAAAATACAGTTTAATCCCAGGGAAAGGATTGCAATCAGCACAAAACAATATAAGGTATATTCTTGGTTTGGAATGTAGGATTCTAAGTATTAGAAAAGTGGTTGGCACATTCACCTAAGGTTTAAGGATAGCATTTGTTTCCAGTATGTAGGGTAACGATTGTCTTTAACATTTTTTGGCTAGCTCATGACCCAAGCATCTAATGGTCACTTCTTGTTGCTTTTCTGTCTTTGGCTTAAAAGACTTTAATTGAAATATTTCAAGTTCCTATAGTATTTGGGATTCTGTAGAATATAATTATTTTGTTGCTAATCACAGTCCTCTGGTTTTAATGTCATTTGTTCAGTGAACCCCTGAATTAGTGTTTAGAGTCATGAAATTGATCCCGTGATACCGTACATGTGGCTATAAGCTCTCAACCTGATAGTTGTTTGATAATCATAATCTTTAAGGACAGTGAATTTAGCTCAGCATAGAATCGGGTTCCAATGTTTTTCCTTTTAAAAAACAGGTTGTATCAGTTTTAATCTGACATGGTCTAGTAATTTTTATAAATAACTTTAGTACTATGAAAGTTTGTTCACTGTGATAAACACACACAAGATAGGTATTTTTCTCCTTGGCAGTAAAAAATAAATTAGTCATTATGGCTGCTCATTAGGCAATGGAGAAAGAGACAAAGTTTAAACCATTAATAGGTTGGTGACTTACCCTTCCTTCAGTCTGTCTCACTGGTAATTGTCTATAGTCTCTAAGTAAACTAACAGTGGACCATTCCTCAAACAGAACTTTGAGGATGTAAAGCAGGCCTGAGGCCTGTTAACTATGGTGAGAAGGTGTTGGTATTACATAGCATAACCTGAGGTTGGAGAGGATCACTTGGGAGCCTGTAACCAAAGCTAGAAGGTAACTTCTGGGATGGATGGAGGTTCCCTTGAAGCAGTGCCAACCCAATTCTACCTCAGGTAAGTAGTTAGAGTAACTTTTTTAAGATTTCAGACCAAATGAGATAAATTGTATTCCATCCATGTACTCCTCTATGCTTTGTTGTTTTTGTTTACTTTTAATTCTTAAATAAATGTTCTGAAAAACATTGTCTCCTCTGTACTATGAGAAATTATCAAGTCCCCTGCATTTACATTGGGATATTGTACTTAATGATGCAATGTATAGGTGGTAGCCATAATCACTGGACAAGGGCAATTTCTTTGCCAAAATATTACAAGAAAGATCTCTGGCCAAATTGCTAGTATTCTTCTCTGAAGTCTGAGCTTAGTTTCCACAGTCTGTATAGCTCTCAGTACAACTGCCTCCTTCTAGGCTCTTAATATGATGGCCCATTAAGCTCTGCTTATAGAATTCAATTGCTTTTCTACTCCAAAATCCCAAAGTCCTGCTACATTCCTCCAAGAAAACCACATGGTCAGGTCCACAGCAATAGCCCACTGTCCTGGTTCTGTTTTAGTTACTTTTCTATTACTATGATAGCACACCATGTCTAAGCAAGGTATAATAGAAAGTTTAATTTTGTTTACAGTTTCAGAGGTGTAAGAGTCCCTGGAGGCAAGGAACAGCCGAAAGCTCTCACCTTGATCCACAACCACAAGACGGAGAGGGATAACTGGAAATCAAGTCTTTGAAACCTCCAAGCCCACTCTCAGTGACACACACCTCTTCCAATGAGATTACACTTCCTAAATCTTCCAAAACGTTCTGCCGGCTGGGGGCTATATATTCAAATAAATGGGCTTACGGGGGCCATTCTCATTCAAACCACCATAGCTGAGATAACCCAAATGTGAGTCCCCAGTATCTGAAAATCAGGCACAGTGGGGCTTTTAATCCTAGCACTGGGGAAGCAGAGAAAAGAGACTCTCTGGAGCTCACAGGCCAGCCAGTCTAGCCAAATTGGTAAGCTCCAGCTTCAATGACAGACCTTGCCTCAAAATTTAGACAGATTGAGAAAAACACACAACAGTTATTTGTGACCTCTGCATAGGAAAACATATGTCATATGTATGTATATATACACACACACACACTAAGGTGAAGTAGGAATAAGGTGGGCAGGGTGGCTTACTGTCAGTACTCAGAAGGTAGATATGGGTAGGAGGATCAGAAGTCTATCAGCCTGGGCTACGTGATGCCCTCAGCCAGCACAAAAGTCAAGATAGAAGGACTGTTGGCAGTGACTGGTGACATCAAATTGATGATTAAAACCTAACAAGAAAGTGAAGACTCTTAACATAACTATTTTTAACTTATTTTGTACTTACTCTTTCACAGTATTTCAGGACTTGATCTTAAAATTGACAAATTGAATTATTACTATTATCTGAAAATGAGAAGCCTTTTAGTGCAAAACTCTGTAAATGGACTCCTTGAATCCCACATCTTTTAAACGGGGCCTTAGTCTTACAAGTGAAGGGCATGGAAACTGCTTTTAAAGGCATAGGAGGTGGCTCGAAGACAGGAAGGCCTTAGAGGTTTCCTACTATAGCTTAATCAGAAGCTTGTTTTTTCCCCTTAAGGAAAGGGGTGCTAAGGGAATTGTATAAAATAGTTGCTTTCTCTGTGTTGATGCTACAGCCTGCATTTATTCAGCCATGTGCACCTACTCATTTATTCTTCCTAGTTAACTGTTCCACCAGGAAATAGTATCTAGTAGTCACAGCCCTCCTGGCTACTTCCATGATCTCTGTTGATTCATTTTCTTCTTTGAGGTTTTTCCTGTCTTTATAATGTGTTTAGATGGCCTTTAATTCCTGTTGAAAAAAAATTCATTCCTATAGTTTACCCTTCCCGAAAGTTCACTAGCTTAAAGTATCCGTGGTCTTCCTTCCTAAAATATATTACTGTAAATATGGCTGCTAGCTGCCTTTGAATCCAAGTACATCTCTGTTGCCTCCACCCTACCCACGCCTCATTTTCAAGTACTTAGCAACCTAGGATCATATAGATTCTTTGCATCTTAAGCCAGAGTTTCAGCTCAGACTGTCTTCAAACTCTTGTCTAGGATGGCCAATGAACTTCTTTAACTATTTCTTTTAGATTTTTAAAATTTTTGTGTTAAGTGTTTTACCTGCATATTGTGTGTGTGTGTACATTATGTGGATGTCTGGTGCCCGAGGAGTTCAAAAGAGGGTATTGGATACTCTGGAGCTAGGATTAAGGATAGTTGTGAACTACCATGTTGGTGCTGGGAACCAAACTTGGATCCCCTGCAAGAGCAACAAAAGTTCTTAACCATTAGCTCTGACCATGAACTTCTAATCCCTTTGCCTCTGCCTCCTCAGCGCTTGCCACCACACTCCATTTATGGTATGCTGAGTCCCAACCCTGGGTTTTGTGCATGCTAAGCAAGCGCTCTACCAAGTAAGTTATATTCCAGCCCCACTGACTTTTTCTTAACTCCTCTGTTAGCCCCTCCCCATCTCAAAGGTTTATGCTCTCATGCTCCATTCTCATTTTTATCCAGAATCACTGAAGCCCAGAAGCAAACTCAGAGGTGTACATACATGTATCTGCACTCTCTCTCTTTTCCCCCTTTATCCTCTCCTCTCTTCCCTCTCCCCTCTCTCCTCCCCTCCCCTTTCCAGATTCTGTTCCACAATGAGCTTTGCAGGGGCTGGAGTTGGGTGTACATGTTCTCTTTAGAGATGAGCATTTTAAGGTCTATTATTCTCTGCACCTTGACCAGTTGTCACTATGTCAACCACCATCTGTTGCAAAATAGAGGCTTCTCAGAGGAGGGCTGAGAGGTGCATCAGTGTATAAGTCCTTAGGAGTCAATTTCATACTTTATCAGTTTAGCAATATAATAGTAGTAGGTTCTTCTCTTGGGCCTATGACCTGTCTAGCCATAGGTTCTTTGCCCAGTGATGGTGCAGGTATGGGTTTCATCCTGTGGAGCTGGATTTAAAGCCACTCAGATTGGATACTTATTTCCATGGTATTCATCCCACCACTGCACCAGTAGACATGTCTTGTCAAGCCAGGCATTATTGTGGCTTGCATGGTTCAAATAGCTGGGTGTTAATAATGATCATCTTTCTCATCTAGTACATTTTTCTCTTCTGGTACTATGAAAGCTAGAGATGAAGTTTCTAGGTCTGTATCAGCTTGAACTTGTCATTTTATGAATCAAGTGGTATTTTCAACAGTAGGATCCTATTGTCAAATTCTAGAGGGTAGCCAAGAGCACTGGCAGCAACTTGTACTGTTAGTGGTCAGTGGGAGTCATCAATTCTTCCATGGGCTTTTTTTAGACTCTGGTTTGTCCATGCATAATAATAAAACAGAGTCACCCTTTAATGGCCCCATTTTTGTTTTCGTGAGTGCATCCTTTGTGCTGAGCCTTTTGAATACCTCTCTTCTAGTTCTACGTGGAAATGCATAGCAAATTGTAAGTTGGATTTGCTCTGGTGTGCTATAGAATATTAGACTTTATTCCACCTATAACTTTCATCTTGTTCCATGATGTATGTGTGGTAGGGGCCTCTAAGAGCCAGGGGAAAGAAAACAGAAAACATCAACACAGACTGAGCAGTGACCTTGAATTGTGTGAATTACACCAAATCCTCCTTGCAGCCATCTCTTTACTTAGAAAATCTCCCTAGAAGTCTTGGGGGTGAGGGGGGGGGGAAATAAAGAAACCACCATATGGTTTAGTTTCTGCCAGAATACTTATGTGGCCTTGCTATACTTCTCTAGTAGCACTTTCTTCCTCAAAATATAAGTCATTATCAGAATCTCACTCTATGGGTTTGAACTCACCAATAAAATTATATATTACCATGTATGGGAGATGAAGAAAAACCCTGAATGTGGTGGCACATGCCTTTAATCTGAGCAGAGACACACAGATATTTTGAGTTCCAGGACAGCCAGGGCTACACAGGGCTCGTCTTGAAACAAGAAAGAAAGAAAGAAAGAAAGAAAGGAAGGAAGGAAGGAAGGAAGGAAGGAAGGAAGGAAGGAAGGAAGGAAGGAAGGAAGCAAAATCCCAATAAAAGGCTCTGCTTTACTAGGTTGGGTCCTCTATAAGAGCAGTGTGAGCGATTTCTTCCACCCCCGCCCCAATCTGATCATTTTACTTTTGGTTAGGAAGCTAGCCTTCAATGGCTCCTTGCTTATTTTAAAGGAGGAGTTTGGTTTGTTTGATTTGCTGCTGAGTGCTCTGATTTCCTTATATGCTGAGGATAGTGATCAAATGAATACTTTGCCAATGATTTTTTTTCCCCATTCTGCAGACTGTCTCTTCAACCAAAGATTTCCTTCCTCATGAAGACGACTTAGTTTAACATAATACCATTTGTCTAGTTTTGCTTTTTTACCTCTGCTTGTGGGGTCATATAAGATTGCCTGTTCCTCTATCTTGAAATGTTTCCAGTGTTTTTTGTTTTGTTTTGTTTTTCCTAATACTTTCATAGTTTCAGGTCTTCCATTTAAGTTAATTTAACTCTTAGAATTCTTGTGGCTTTCTGTACCTGGTGACAGATAGGATCTCATTTCATACATCTGCCTGTCAACATCCATTTGGAAATGATTATCCCTAAATGGAGCAACTTTAAGTCTGTTTTAAAAGTTTTCCTGTTGGTTCCCTCTTTTTTCTTTTAACTTTTCCATGTGGTTTCCATATTAATCTCTGCCTTCCCCCTCCCTGCTCCCCAATACCATAGGAAAGGATATGAGGCCCAACTACTTGGTGCCTCACCAGCTCCAGGCTCCTCTGAAAGCTTTGCTAGATACCTTCTTCTTTAAAGTTGTGTGCGCACGTGCGCGTGTGCGCACACAAGTATGCCACAGTGCATATGTGGAAATCAGAAGGCAATTGCAGGAGTGTGCTCTCTCTTTCCACCTTATGGGACCTTGAACTCAAACTCAGGTTGTTAACATTGGCATCGAGTGCCTTTATTGCTGCGCCATCTCACTGACCCATTTGCTGAATTTATTCTTAGTTCACATTTTCCCTCCCAGAAGCAACAACTTATTTTATTTTTTTGTTGCTAGGACATATATCTTCAAAGTCAGTGGGTTAAACAATGTAGTAATAGGATGATGATGATTTTGCAGATTGAGTCTAGTCCAAGT